AATAGAGACAATAAATTTCAGTAGCATGAATTACATTAGTTAAAGTGGTCGTGTTTGTTTCAGGAATAACGAAAAACGGAAAGAAAAGTCTCGAGATGCCGCCCGATCAAGACGATCCAGGGAAACGGAAATTTTCACGGATCTTGGAAATGCCCTTCCAATTTCTTCCGAGCAAATTTCCCAGCTCGATAAAGCTTCGGTAATGCGATTGGCCATCTCCTACTTGAGAGTGCGAGATATGATCCAGCTAAGTAAGCACTTCCATTCCAATTTATTTTTCCAGAAATTTTAACTTGTGAAATTTGCCGCTGTTGAATCCTTCCAAATAAACCAACAATTTTTTTTCAGTTCCTCTATTGCCCGTTAAAGACACAATACACAAAAGCCTGAAAGATGAATCGGCTTTCCTAAAATCGCTGGAAGGATTCGTTCTAGTCGTATCATCCGAAGGCGACTTTGTTTACTTGTCTGAGAACGTGAGCGACTATTTAGGAATTACACAGGTAATTGCCAATATAAATTGCGTTATCGCAATTTCGTGATTGTTGGGAAAATTGTTTTGTTTCCAGATCGATCTTCTGGGTCAAAATATCTACGAGTACAGCCATCCATGTGACCACGATGAAATCCGAGACATCCTGGCGGTGAAGACTCAAGAGGAAAGCGACTCCCCAAAATCGGTTTTCATAAGATTGAAGTGCACGTTAACCAGCAAGGGGCGATCAGTTAACTTGAAATCGGCCACTTTCAAAGTAATGCATAGAACAAGCCTATAGAATCAAAAACACTGCTTTTTTGTTATATTTTAGGTGATTCACTGCACTGGTCATATGATCAAAGAGAGGCAACCCGAGGAAGAAGAGAAAGGCAAAGTCTCTTGCTGTTTGGTTGCGGTTGGGCAGCCGATTCCTCATCCTTCCAACATCGATACACCTCTTCCTCGGCAGACCTTTTTAACGAAACACAGCATGGACATGAAATTCACACATGCCGACGATGAGTTGTAAGTTCCAAGACACCTTAGGAAAATCCATCTTCAAGCTCCGTGTAAAATGCCGAACTCAAAGTGTTTTCTTTGGAATTTTAGCATGGTTGAGACGTTGGGTTACACACCAGAAGACCTAATTGGAACGTCGGTGTACGAATACCACCATGCAATGGACAGTGATTCGATTGGGTCGGCGTTCAAATGCTGTAAGTGGTCTTTATTCAAATACATCAACATGTATTTAAAACAGAGGAAAGCAACGTTTTTCACTGAGCAAAACACGTTAATTACTGGCCCAATATTACACACCACTTACTAATGAACAGATCAAGAACATTCATAATTTTCGAACATTGATGACCACAAACAACACATACATTAACGTGCCGGGTGCATATTTAGGGGCATCATTCTGGCACTTGGATGGATCGTTTTTTGTCCAAATTCCTGCGGGGATGTTTTCAATTATGGCCGGAAAAGTCATATCGGCGTACGCTTCGTCCCAGATGTTTTCCATTTCATCGTCCGTCTTCATTCTGCGGAGCACAGATGCGAATGCTGAAAAATTCAGGAATTAATCGATGTTTTTCACTCACAACGTTGAAAGTATCCCGACCTAAATCGGTGTCGTTGCAGGACCACATGAGCATGTCGTCACCAAAAAACTTCAGATTGATGTCGTAACTCACTGGTTCTTCATCGGGGTTTTGCGTTAAAATAACCCTCGAATCGTTCTGCGTAATTGTGCCATTCCAAAGGTGGATAATTAAGTAGGATTTCCATATTTCATTTCGAATCTCGCATGATTGGTTGGCGCTCGCACACTTTATTTCAAAGTGCGAACAGGGGTCATTTTTTAACACCTTTGTTGTGTAGAGGTGCTCATACCAGTACCCTTTCAACTAAAATCCCAGTAGAATCTGTGCATAAAATTGATATTGTTAATACTCACAAATGTTGTGCTGAGTTGTGAATAGGGGTCTTGCATCGGGATTTTACATTCACCGGCACATCGCAAAATATGATTTACCGAAAGGTATAAAATCAAATACAGGAATGACATGCTGAATATGTTGGAAGGTGTGAATCGTTCTAATTAAGCTTAAATAATAAAAGCTTCTGAAATTGATTTAATGAATCCGCCTTATCTGCTAATGCAAACAGGGAGAGGAAAGTGGCAATCTGTTCAGATTTATTTAGTTTTATATTCCCTGTCGCATTGGCGGAACAAAGATCAGTCTTGGGCAATGGTTGAATTTACCCGGTTCCAACTCCAAAATCCCAAGAAATAATCATATTTAAAAAACCTGCCCGAACTTAAAGGCTTCAAACATTCATAACGCGGATTTAGGCATTTTTTTTTCATATTTCTCACACTGGTGAGTACGGCTTTGTGTTCAAGCAGCATGTAAACAGGGCATTGATTTTTTGTTTTTGCTCGCATTAAATCCGGATGTGATCGATGATATTCCCATAACAAAAATCTTTTTTGTTTGGCATTTAGATACCAGGCATTAGAAGCAGTTTGTTTTGGATTTCGCGCCGCAAAATCGCCCTAATCAGCAACGAGCTGTCTATTTAATGAAACTGTTCTAATTGATCTATTCTCTGTTTTTTTTGGATATTAATTTGATTTTTTTGTACATTTGCTTTATTCGTCTAGAGTAAATATTGTCGTGTAGTCTTTTGTTGACTCATTCCTGAAATTTACAGCGCTTTATTTGAATAGTTTTTATGTGATTGCTTTTCGTTGCTGAATTCAAACGGAATTTCGGAGTCCGTTTTATTGCTTGTCCAGACACAAAACAGTTTTTGAGGGAGATTCTTGAGTTTGCCCCATAAAAGACGCTATAAACTGCAAAGCGTCAATGTACGCCTCCAACGGTCTTGGAACGAAAATAGAAAATGAAGCAGGAATGAACGGGGCATAAAAATTGGAAAGTTGCTTCAACTTACTATTATACGAAATGCTTCATGTGGAAAATAAGATCAGGTTTCCTGAAAACAAAACTCTCTTCAGTAGAGTTGGGCTTTTGGGTCGTGGAAAATAATTTCAAATCTCTCATTCACCAGAATCCTGAATTCAGGTGGAAAATGTAATTTTAACAACGATTTTTTAACTTGACTCCAACCAATCTGAGGTTTTTTTGTCGCTGGCCCTGATTCTTATAAAAACATTGTTTTTCACACTATTGCCTCATTAGTGTGCGAATTGAATTATTCTGGTAACTCGCTTGTTAAATGATATCCAGTGCCTTTTGGCGCGGGATCAAAAAAGTAATATTTTGCTTATCGGCTGGAAATAAAGGTTCAGCAGTGACGAAAAAGAATAAAAACGAAGTGAAAGCGCTCATTTGGAGAACAGATCGTAAATCTGTGACAATCCCTCATCCTTCCCTTGAGACCTTCCGAATACTCATAAAGTTTGATGATCATGCCACGTTTTATTACAGCAGCCCCGAGTTTCTCCATTTTATGCACATGTGTCGCCGAAAAGTTCAAGAGTTCCGCTGCTGAGAAATCTGCAAATTGCGAATTGTTTTACGCGCAAAAACAAAGAAATTTGGGTGCAAATTCGCATTTATTTTTTAGCCGAAAGTCCACATTAGGCTTGTTGCCTCGTTTGTTTTAACGGCGCCCCAAAGTTGATATCTTTATTAATTTACGCGTGGAAATATCTGGAGGTTGGCGCAAAGTTTTTCGCGAATATTAAAGTGAATTGGATTTTTTATGGCTTGATAAATATGACAGTGTTTCAGTTTAATATTTGCAAGTTTTATACTCTCTGTTGCATAAATCCTATAAAACCCAGTAGACTCTCAAATGGAAGCAAATGTAAAGACGCTCGTCTTGTGGATTAGCGTTTCTGGTTGAATCTCTTTGCTCGGGCAAATGAGTGAAGGGCGATTTTTATTCAGATGGACGGGGTAGAAAATCCGAAGCCCCGAGAACACAAAGACCCATTTTCCGGGTATTCGCCCAGATTCGGGAGCAAGTTTCCCCGATAATCTCCGTTTATTGCTCTTCGTTTGAAGCGAAAGCTTTGTTCCCAAGTCTGCATTGCTGCCGATGGTTCATTAAACTGTAATCAGGCCGCCCATTTAAACTATCCAAGGACATTTACTTGGATTGTTGTTGTTTCTTAATGGGGTTTTACTTTTTTATATTTAGTGCTTTTACTGCAATTCAGAAAATCTTTGACTCACTTTTAGTATGGAATCTACACAAAGAAACTTTCAAACGTAGTTTTTCCAGCGTTATTTGAATGATAAGAGCGATATCCGGCGATCGATTTCCGCCCCGTTTTCCCGGTCTTCTTCAAATTAAAATTCCCATCCCTTTTGGCCTTTCGGCCATTATCTCGAGGTGAATGTCTGCTATATTTGTTTGTCCTGGACGGGAGAAAAAAGAATTTGGCCAGAATCCAAAAATGCCAAAGTTTTATTAGGTAATAACCGAGTTAAAAACACATTAAACTGAAATGGAAATGCCATCGGGCCCGGAATTTGAATCTTTTCGCTAATGAAAGTGGTGAGGATTTTCAGCTTTCCGAAGTGGAATTATCAGGCCTGTACGGTAATCCGTATTTACAGTTAGAACCGGAGATTTTTCGTCCACAAAGGCGTGCGTGACTGGAAGCAATTTGTTCCCGAAAAGTCACTAAATTCCTGTCCAAAGAAATGCGAAATAATACAACGTTTGAAAACGAAATAAATCTCTATTGAGTAATGCCTTTTACATGATCATCCATCATCCTCCACGTAGCGAATACTTTGCCAATCTTATAGAGATTTATCATAACGGATCAAATAAATATCTGTTGGCGCCCTGCACAACTTCTGCGACAGTAAAACTGAAAAATTGCCCGCGTTTAAGGAAAAATGGGAATTTATCGCACAAAAGTCCAGCAAATGTTAAAGATATAGAGCGGAATGCTTAATGCTGATCAAAACTGGGAAAAGCAATTCAGCACACTTTTTTTTTCTTTCTAGTGTTTTCCAAAGGACAATGTGAGACAAACCGCTACAGATTTCTGGCAAAAACCGGCGGTTACGTATGGGTGGTGACTCAGGCCACTTTAATTTTGGACAAAATGCAGAAAGCTCAAAGTGTTGTGTGTGTTAATTTCGTCATAAGGTAAGTGTTTGATTTTTGAGTTGGGAGAATGTTGAGAACCGACGGCTGATTTGCCAATTTTCTCTTGAAAGCCTTTGAGGCAATGCTTGTCAACAATAAGAAACGCGTTTACTTCCATTCCAGAGACTCGAAAGATCGCCGTCGATTGTCATGTTCTTTGCTTTGTTGGCGAACCCGATTTTTCCGTTTTTAGTAGCAATTTGACTCTAATCTGAAGATTCTACCAATCAAGTTGTTTCAATACGATTTTCAAAAGTTTCCTGGTTTGGGTTTGCCAACAGTTTAGCTTTCAGACCAATTTTAGTTCATGCGGAAGAAGTCGAAACTGCAAAGACGAGCCCTCAGAATCAATTTCTTTGTTTTCTGAGGTGTTCAGTCATCGACTTTTTGACTTACTGCGGGTTTGATTTACGCGATTCGGCAATGTTGTTGATACTTTTGCTCTCCCTCTCTCTAGCTGAAACGTTTTAATGGTGAAATTGGCAAAGTTGCAGTTGTAGCTCTAAATAAAAAAATCAATTACTCGTCACATCCATGCCTCCCAACCATTCATACGCATATTTAGGACGGGCGGGTGCAATAAATTCAGCATGTGACCGACTGTTGTAAATTAAATTTAGAATTTTAACCGCGTTGTTTGCATTAAACTGTAGGACTTAATTTGAAGGTGGGCGAGCAAAACGTGCGGTTCATTACTGTGCTCCAGTTAAGTCGATCGATTTATCTTCGAAAAAACAGCAGTGGCATACTTTATACACTTGCATTATATAAGGGCAGTTTTTAGCGGTAAAATCGGGCATTTAACTGGACAATAAACAATAATTTTCCACGAAGCTTCGCGTTTATTGCTGTGTTTTTGTGTCATCTCCCGCATAAACTCTTTGAAATATTGCCTGATGATAGCGAATAAACATTTCTGGCTCCATCTAAATTTTTTTTGGAACGGCGATTCTGGGTTCAGTAACCGCACAAAAGTACATTTGAGGGCTCAACTGCAATTGAACAGTTTGCGTAAAAATAAGTCGAATCGAGCTCGGCATCTCTCTGTGTTTAATCGAGGTACTTAATGGCCTAAACTAGCCATTATGGATAATACAATTCCGCTTGATGGTTAATCAAGTCGTTTGTATGCATGTTGGCCCCTAGGATTTGGGGGCTCGGATTTGCGCTTTACGTGATGATAGTCCCTAATTCACGCATTGTGTCTGGTGTATTTGAATGATTCGCAATGTTTGTTTCTGATTTTATATTACCTCACTTTTGACCTTTTTTCATTTATTTGCTAATCTTTATCTAGCATGAAGTTTTATCCGAGCAAAAGGTCAATGAGATGAGTTCAAGGAAGCAAACACATAAACGAAATTATACGATTTCGAATCTTGATATAAAAACAAATGGAACGTTTGATTTATGGCGAGATTTCCTAAGGCACTGTTGATAAAAGCCTATAAAGCCGCTCATTCTAGTTGAGCTAAGACTGGGGCATCACGCTATCCTAATATAACAGATTACTTTGCCCTTTTGGTATCGTATTTTGGTGTTTTTGTGCCGGAAGTGGCTAAATGAATGGCTTCAATATAACCATCACTTGTGAAGGGCCTTCTGGCTATTCCAATTATCAAATTTTCCCCCGAAACTGATGCACGGAATCAATCACGAGGGCCGGAAAAGTGGATTTTATTTTGGCAATATTTACAAAACAGTTAAAGCGATAAATTGACCCACGCGCGAAGGGTGGGTTTTCAAATATATCGGCTTGTTTATTTAAGTGCGACACACCCCTAGGCGTCGAGCCCTCCAAATTCCTTTGAAATGTCGAATTAGTTTTGGCCGATGGAATTTTCAATTGTGCACGTCCGGCTAAAAGAGCGAAAATATCGGGCCGTTTGAAGATTGTGTTTTATTTCGTTATTTCTGGTTATTTCTGTAATCTCGTATGTCATTCGCCAGTGAGAATGATGGGGGCAAAGCGCCAGAAATATCAAGCTTTCGAGCAATTTTCGGCTTCTGTTTCTTTGGGATTCTCTGGTCATGTCCGACGGTCTCCGGAGAAATAACCGGAAAATGTCCTGCACCACGTTAATGATGAATAGAGTGAGTTGAAATACGGTCTTCAATTGCGGGTATTTTGGTCAAATGCACCAGTTTTCGATCAAAACGCCTTTTAACTGCAGCAGCCAGTGGTTAATTTCAATGGTTTCGGCTATTAGCTTGTTGGCACATTGTGACCTATATTAATGATGTTTTTTCTTCGCAAATCTGGCAAGCCATAAACACCTTTACTTTTTACAAACTTCTTTTTGGGTATTT